CGCATCGGGGTTGTTTCTGTGCGGCTCTGCTGTTTGTTCTGTTTCATTCGTTCCGTCATCCTTGTCTGCGCCCTCGTGTTAGCATGATCTGGGGACAGCCCGTTGTGTGCCCAGGAGGGTCCACGTCAGCGCTGAGGGTCACCGTGGTAAAGACAGCCCCCTGGTTTGCATAGACCCCAGATCCCACAGCAATCAGCCCCGATGTCCTCCCCGCCCCTCTCCTGTCCTCCCCACAGAGATAGCGCAGCTGCCTCCCCACGATGCTGTCCTGTCTCTGGTGAGAAGACAGGTCAGGGAGCCCAAGTCCCCTCTGTTCCCAGGTCCTTTGGTGTTTTCTCCTCCCACTCATCTTAATTTCTTTTCTTTTGCAGATTTTATTTATTTTTAGAGGAAGGGGAAGGGAGGGAGAAAGGAAGAGAAATATCAATGTGTGGTTGCCTCTTGAGCGCCCCCTGCTGGGGACCTGGCCCGCAGCCCAGGCACGTGCCCTGACCAGGGATCCAACCAGACGGATTCATTTTTATTTCTTCCCTCAGCCCATGAAACTCTCTTTCAGGTCTGGTGGATGGAGTTGCTTAACTTTCCTCCCTGCTTCGGGCTGAGTGTTCTCTGTTACCATTAAATCCTCTCTCCGGTGGCGGGTGTGGGCTTTTGGAAGTGGAAGCTAGAAGATTTGAAGAGTATTACATCTTTGAGCCCTGCTGAATCCTCCACTTATTTTCATGAGCAGAAACGTGACTGTCTCCTTGAAAGGAGAAAATGAAGGAGAATGGGAGGGATAAAAAAATAGCAAGTTTTTGAGTAGTCCAAACAAGACACGATGTGGCTTGAATTATCCTAGTGGGGGGAAAAATGTATGTAGATTTGAGTTGTGTATTCCAAGGTAGATAGATGGAATTTGACAGGGGAGAGTGGGCAGAGGAAGTGAGTGACCAAGAATAAAGAGTAAATGTCATTTCCTGAGAGGTAGGACAGGGGAAGAGGAGTAAGTATCAAGTGTGAACATGGGGAGTTCAGTTTCTGACTTTTTACACATAGAAAAAATCTGTGAAAATTGAAGTGGATTTCAGGTGATCTGTAAGTAGGACAAGTGACATTCTAGAGATAAAAGCGTGGAGTTATTTGCATAACTATAGTACCGTATTTTGCTGTGTATAATGCACACTTTTTTGCCAAAATTTTTTGAGGGAAAAATAAGGCTGGACCTTATACATATGTAGCACTAATTCTATATTTATATAAATATTTTTAATTCTTGTATTTATGTTCATGTAGTAAAACATGGGTATGCATTATACACAGTAAAATATGGTATTTCATGCCAGGATGTATCAGTTAGTTTTGGCTGTGCCAAAACCTAGTGTCTTAAAACAATCATCATTTATTATTTCAATTCTCTGCCTGCTTCAGATTGTGAATGAGAAGTAGTTTTATTTTCCAACCTCGCATGTTCTGGTTCCTCTGTTTCCCCTAAATTTTGCTCACATACGAACAAGTCATTCTTTAGCTCAGCTATCTTTTTATCTTATACTTAGCTAAGAGAGGCCAGTGGCCACTTTAAAACACTCTACCTGGAAACTGTCCTGTTAATGAACATAAAATCATTAGGTAGAGCCTCTGATTTACCGTTGGCAATTGCTTTACCCTTAGAGATTGTTTAGTAACTTGTCTGTCATCATCAACCAGCCTAATCCATCCTCCTCCATGTAGTTATGAAAATCTTAAGAGCTGCAAGAAAAGGCAAGTCCCAATGTGCAACCTTCTATTCACCTCTGATTGTGTCACATTTGTGATTGTCCTGTTGCCCAAAACAATACATGTGGCCAAGCCCAGAGTCAGTACAGGTGGAGCCACCCAATGGCTTGGGTGCATCATTTTTGCACACTCAGAAATAGATCATTTGGCGAGGCTACCGCCATGGCGAAGGATTCCAATAGTTTAAGGCCATGACCAGAGGAAAGGGAACAGATGAATGAGGCTCAGTTAGACCAGTCAGAAGGCTCAGTGGCCAGCAAGGAGGATGGAGGCCCAGGAGCCGAGGGGAGGCTCCTTCAAAATGAGGAGGCTCAAGGATATGTGAATGCAGATGACCAGTCGAGTAAGAGGAACGGCGGGAAGTGCCCACCAGAGGTAACTGCACGAAGGCCCACAATGGCGTCCGAAAGATTTGTTTCGATGAAGTGAGGTGGGGAAACCCACCCACAGTAGGACAGAGTCTTAGGTGGAAACAGGCATTGTCTGTAGAGTGACTTATGCTATATAGACTTTCCTCTGTAGGCAATGGACTTTTTTAAGTTCTAAGCCAAGACCCTGGCTGGTGTGGCTCAGTGGATTGAGCACCAGCCTGCAAACCAAAGTGTCGCAGGTTCAATTCCCAGTCAGGGCACATGCCTTAGTTGCGGGCCAGGTCCCCAGTAGGGGGCACGTGAGAGGCAACAACACACTGATGTTTCTCTCCCTCTCTTTCTCCCTCCCGTCCCTTCTCTCTAAAAATAAATAAATAAAATCTTTTTAAAACTTCTGAGTCAAAATTACTCTAAATATTACCAACCACATGGAAAATAATCACATACCTGTTTGTGATTCGTGGCAATCGGGTGGCACGTGATAATTTCCAATGCATTTCTCTGTCTTCAAAAGCACGTACCGGACTCTACTCCTGTCCTGGCCAAGTCCTGGTGACGCTGTTGGTAGATAGGTGGGTCCAGCTGGCAGCCCTACCATCAGGCACCTGAGGCAGATGTCTGTGTTTAGAGTGGTAAAACCATGACTGATATGATGACCCTTCAAAGCATTTCCTTTAAATTTAGCTCAAGATTGAGATACTAAAGAGAAAGGTAAAATTCTAAATTAAAATGTTCATTTCTTTCCATCAGTTGAAAAAATGAGGATTTATTATACTCTGAGAACACTGTAATTTCCAACTATTTGGAGTAGTCTAGTCCTTCATTTCACACATAATTCATCAGAAATAATGGGAATTACTCAGCCACACTAGTTAATGACAATGGGAAGCTAATCTATATCTCTTGTTGGCATCGTTTCCAACCTCTTGGCTACTCTCCTCAAAAGTTTATAGTTTTATAAAAGAGAAACAATTTTGAAATGCATATGAAACACTTAGAAGTATGGGGGAAAGTAGTAACTATATCTAGCATATATATCTTTTACTTTGCATTACTTGATTCCAGAAATTCAGCTAGTCTTTCCCTGGAAGAGTTATCATAGCCACTGTGTGCAATACTGAAATTTAATATTGTACATTTGCACCCCTTTTACCAAGGCAGAGGATCCCTGTGTCTCCTCTCCTTTGACCACACCATGTCAAGTAACTTCTTGTAAATTGGCGTTTCCATAGGTGAAAAATAGTATTTTTCCCTAATTCCTACATAAGAGTAAGCATCTTTTCACATGTTTCTTAGTAACTTGTATACTTGTATTTTAAATTCTGTGAATTTCCTGTTGGATATGAGTTGTTCATTTTCCCCATTGTGTGTGTGATTTGTTAATTTTTTTAAGGTTTTATATATGTATTTTTAGAAAAAGGGGAAGGAAGGAAGAAAGAGAGGGAGAGAAACATCAGTGTGAGAGAGAAACATTGACTGGTTGCCTCTTGTACACACCCTGACCAGGGACTGAACCTGCGACTCAGGCATGTGCCCTGCCCAGGAATTGAACTCATGACCTTTTGCTGTGCTGAAGGATGCCCAACCCACTGAGCCACAGCGGTCAGTGTGATTTGTTAATCTTAACCAGATTAGAAGTCCCTTATATATTCTAGAAGCCAAAGCTTTGTCAATTACAAGTGCTACAAATATTTATTCCCAGTAGGTGGATTTCTTCACTGTTTTTATAAAGTCATTTTATGTTACTTTAAACTCACTTTTGTTAATATTGTGATAAAAAGGCTGTAACTTCTTAATTATGATATCATTTTAAACTTAAAGAAAGTTGCAAGAATAGGACAGAAGACTCCTACATTTTCTTTAGCCAGATTCATCAGGTGTTTACATTTTGGTCCCCACTTGATCTATCATTTTCATGAGAAAAGTTTCATTCTTTCTATATATAGACATGGGTACATAAAGATATGTGTGTACATGCTTGTACACACACAATTTATTTCCAAACCATTCAAAAATAAGTTAGATAAAGCATGTTCTTTCAAACCTAGTATTTTGGAGTGCATTTCCAATAACACTGATATTGTTGTACATATTCACAACCCAGGAAAGTGAGGACTGATTAAATGCTCTGATTTTATCTGCCATCTATTTCTAAATGTTGGCAGTTGTATCAATATATCCGTTAAAACTAACATTTTGGGATCCTGGGTCACATGGTACACTTCATTTTCATGTCTTTTTAGTCTCCTGTTATAGAGAGTAATTCCTCAATGTTTCTTTGTGATTCTTGACTTTTGTGTTTTGAAGTGTACAAGGCACTTATTCAGTAAAATATCTCCTAATGTGTGTTCGATGCTGCCCCCGTGCTAGATTGGCATTATGCATTTTTAGCAAGAATGTTACTGATTTGATGCTGGGTCCTTACAGCATCTTTTCAAGTGACATACAATATTAGTTCGTACCAATATTGGTAATTCTAACTTAGACTTTGCAATTAAGAAAAAAAGTTAATTTCTCCATGTTTAACACTTTCCCTGTATAATTACAAAAATAATTCATAGGGAGATACTTTGGGACCCTGTAAATATTCTGTTCCTAATCATTTTGTTTCAGCACAAATTGATAACTGTCTAATTCCTTCTTCATCGTTCCTTCTTCAGTGGTTAGTAACCGTATGTCAGGGAGAGTTTCTCCTTCTCATTCGTTCATTCATTCATTGTGCATATCATTCTAGACTCAGGACGCTCATTTTACCATCTTTATTTATTTTTAAAAAATAGTTTTAAATTTACAGAAAAACCATAAAGACTGTACAGCATTCTTATATTCTTATTCGGAGTTCCTACTGGAACTTTCCAACCTGGGCCCGGCATGATGGCTCCCGCACAGAAAGGAGGCGAGAAGAAGAAGGGCTGTTCTGGCAGCAACGAGGTCATGACCAGAAAGTACACCATCAACATCCATAAGGACATGCATGGCGTAGGCTTCCAGAAACGTGCTCCTCGGGCAGCCAAAGAGATCCGGAAACTTGCCATGACAGAGATGGGAACTCCAGATGTGCACGTGGACACCAGGCTCAACAAAGCCGTCTGGGCCAAAGGAATAAGGAATGTCCCTCGCCGTACCCGGGCGCAGTTGTCCAGAAAACAAAATGAGGATGAAGATTCAGCAAACAAGCTCTGTACGTTGGTCACCTGCGTACCTGTCACCACTTTCAAAAATCTACAAACAGTTAATGTGGACAAGAATTAACTGCTGGTTGTCAAATCAAGTTATAAAACTGCCTTCAAGGTTTGGTTTCCTGTTTCTAGTGGCAGTGTAATGTGTTTCTATATCTTAAAGTAGTTCCCAATTAAAGAATCATTTGGAAAGCTTTAAAAAAAAAAAAGAGTTTCTACTGGAGAGAGTGCAGAGAGTCCGATGCTCAGTTCCCTGTTGGTAACATTTGGAATAGGTATGGTGCATACATTATAATTAGTGAACTAATATTGACCTATTATTAACTAAAACTCATACTTTATACAAGTTTCCTCAGTGTTCGCCTGATGGATCTTATCTGTTCCAGGACCCTGCTACCCAGGACACTATATTACATTAACTTGTCACATCTTGTTGGTCTCTTCTCGACTATGACAATTTTTTAGGGTTTCCTTGTCTTTGATGACTTAGACATTTTTGAGGACTCCTGAGCAAGGATTTTTAAGGGACTTCAACTGGGACTTATTTGATGCTTTTCTCATAGTTAGACGGGGTCTATGGGTTTGGGGGAGGAGGTTCAGGGAGGAAAAGTACCGTTTCTGTCTCAGCATTTCAGTGGTACATATTGTACTAGTACTATGACTGTAGAGCCCTGGCTGATGTGGCTCAGTGGACTGAGCGCTGGCCTGCAAACTGAAAGGCCGCCGGTTCGATTCCCAGTCAGGGCACATGCCCGGGTTGTGGGCCAGGTCCCCGGTTGGGGGTGTGCAGGAGGCAACCGATTGACGCTTCTCTCACTCCTTCTCCCTCACTTCCCCTCTTTCTAAAAATAAGTAAATAAAATCTTTTTTAAAAAATGACGGTTAATATCAACCTTGGACAGCTAACCAAGGTTGCATTTGTTGTTTTGCTCCTCTGTAAAATTACTTTTTTCCTGCTTTCCCTCCTATGCTCCTTGGAAAGAGGTCACTCTGAGCAGCCCACACACAAGGAGTGGGGAGTTACGTTGTGCCAGCTTGTTGCAGGGGGAGTATGTGCACAAACTTGTCTCCTTTCCCCTTTGGTTCATTTATTACATTGTGTATCCTGTAAGGATGGGTTCATGAATTTTTATGTTATGTTGTGGGATAAGATCCAACACGACTTTATTTATCGTGATGCACGCATTTGGCCAATTCCACCGCCTTCAGCCCGGCTTCCGTACCTTTGGGTGTGTTCCCATGTTTTCTCCAGCACTTCCTTCCTCCAACAGTATTTTTCTTCACAAATGAACTCTTTAGTGCCTGCTCTTCTGATATGAAATATCCTATTTATAATATGTGACGTTTCCCTACACGGAGGGCTTACATTTAGTTTACTAATATTCTTCCATTATCTCTTCTTCACCAGCATTTGTGGGGCAGATGCCTTAATGACATCATGACGCAGGGGTCTCTGTAAGTCCATAAGCCCTTGGAAAGACTTTGAACTGCAGTGGCTTACGCAAGATTTTGTTTATAGACTTAACATTGCTAGGCTTAGGAAACCTGATTGGGCTCCCCGATTTTTTTGTTGTTGTTGTTGTTAGTCATTGACCTTCTCATTTCAAGTTTTTCACTTTAAATATATGTTCTATTTATGTTTTGTGAACTCAGAGTTTTCCATTGCCTCTCCCACGACTTCATCGGGCCCTTTTCTTCATATTCCAACCAAGATGCACACACAAAAAAATAATTGTTATTAAAAATAAAAAAACAACTTTTTCCTCCCAAAATCACTGTCTATTAAATTAATGATCCTGGAGCTTTGGATTCTGAGAGATATCCTGAGCCCTAAAATATAAAAATGTTGGTTTATAAAAGGAACCACCCTCAGACCTCCCAGTAGTTTATTCTGCAGCCTTTTCTCAGCCCAGGGAATCCTATATTCATCTGTTGCTTAAAATCTGCCTGTGAAAATTTATGTTATTAGCCATCTTCAAAGAATGTGTGAGCTCTGAGAATAATTCCGTAATACTAGTGCAAACGTACCTCATTCATAAAACGCGAGGTGTGTGCGCGCCGGTTTGAACTGTCTGCAACTATCAAAGAGCCGTACTACAGCGCCATCTGTCATCCAAAGTTGGAATTAAATAGCTAAGAACCCAGGCACGGAGCAGCTGCTGAAGTTCGGGGTTAATGTGAGAAAAGAGGTAAGTCCACGAAACCGCTGGTGATGGACTTCAGTAAAAAGAGGATTTAAGAACCTCTTAAATTACAGAATTAATAGAAATATACTTCAAATATTTTTAATTACAGAAGTCTACAGGCTAAAAGTAAAAAGATATGTGTATATATAGAGTATTTCTTTTATTTAATTCCATACTGCCTTTTAAACTAATGCGTACATCCACAGTTTCAGGATGTTTACAAATATATTAGACCGAATCTATATCTGCCTTTATAGAAGTAGAGATTTTGACATAGTTTTAGATATAAAATATTTATCAGATTTTTCATAACATTTTCAAATATATTCAACTGAATATCTATGCACTTACTTATATATATATTTCTACATATTAATTATAGTCCATTACATAACAAAATACATAATTGATACACAAAATATATATTGAATAGGACTAGATATAAATGTGATATTCACATTTTATTTTCCAAACTGATTTTTATCTAATGTATACCATAATTTATTCACTAGATGTACAGCAATATTATTTTTGTTAGCACTTTGAATTCTGAATGTGTGCTCTTTAATTTGTCTATGCCCAGTTGATAAACTTTTACTTCATTTCTTATTTTTCACTTTTGCAGAAAATGCCTCAGAGAACAATCTCTTAAAAGTTTCACCGTTCAGTAAAAACAGAATTGGCAGTTCAGAAAAGTCTACAGCAATGTAGAGCCCACCTTAAAATGTGTAAGTATCATATATGCAGTACTCAAACGTGAATATTAGTAAATTCGGTTTTTTTCCTCAATCAGACTAGCGTGATTTTTCTTACTACCTTAGTTTTAGGGAATATATAGTGCTTACTGTCTTTATTTCGTTTTCTCTTCTGAAAACCTGTTCACATGACTTAATACTCATTTAAATTAAGTTGCTTTCATTTTTTTTTAAGTTGAGGCCAATCTGTATAGAGAATTACACTAAATACTGCATTGCACATATTTTCAAAATATTTTCAAAATATTTGACTATGTATTTATAGTTTTACTCAACCTATCATACCTAAACATTATTAATAATACTGTATAAAAACCTGTAAATCTTTCATTTTATTTCTGGATTTCATGTGGGCATCTATATTATGAGAAATATTTTATCATTGTTTAATTTTAATTTTAAAAAAACACTATTTCGTCTGAGGTTTATGTATATGTATGGCAAAGGATGAAGAATCTAAGGTTATCTTATGAATGAATGGTTGATACTGCTAAAGTCTTTTAATTATCCATCCACTCTAGATGTGGATTTTGATTACAAGTTCACTTTTATTAAGCCAAGTTCTCTATTTCATAGAAAGCATATTCAGTGAAAAACGGGGACGGGAACCCGTGGACGTTGTGGGACAGCGCTATGTTTACAATTTTGGAGAAATGTGCTTTTTACTGGGCTTTTGCTGATTTTGGTGTATTTGATTACATATTCATTTTATGGCACGTGCCCCTGTATAGCCTGTTCTCCCCATATTTCAAATTCAGCATTTCAGAATCGACCCGTAAGAACGCGGCTACAAAGTCCCTACACTGTCGGATTTTCTGGACAAAGCGCCCTGAAGTGCTTTGTCCGCAGAGCAATGGTAGAGGGTTTACGGTACACTTATCACACCCTCTGCGGAAAGATCGGGAGGACGCGGAATTGACTGCGGGCAGGAGGAACAGAGCCCTCTGGATTTGTATTTATTTGCTTATTTTTTTCCTTATGAATCGTCCGAAGCGCCTTCAGTCCCTGGACAACGACCGCAGCCGCCGCGGAGCTCCGCGGCCGGTTCCCAGACGGGGCGCGGCGCGGGTCACGTGGCCGGCCGGGAGGACGGTGGTCCGCAGGGGCCGGTCTCGGGAGCCTCCGGGCGGCCTCGGCGGGCAGATCCAGGCGAAGCGTTTTGATCCCTCCCGGCCTCGGTCTCTCTGACAGGCCGTTTCGGCTTTTCGGGCTGCGGGCTGACTTCCCATCCTTATTTGCTCCTGGGGACACCGCGATGCTCCGTAACGCTAGGTCGTCCCGGTCTGGTCGCTTCGCACCGTTTGGACCTGCAGATTTTGATACTTGATTTTCAGCATGTAAAATACATGCCTTTTTTTCCCCCTAGAAAGTGTAATGTAATAGCCATCGCTTTTCATATTTATGTTGAAGTCCATAAAGGTGTTTACAGTATTTTTGATGTTAGTGATTTTTACTTTAATTAGCATTTTTTTTCAAATGTTTTCCTTTAGGTTGATGTTGAGGCTTTTTGTTTTGTTTAAGGGGGTGCCATTAGTACTTAAGATCATCTTACACTTGGATACTGATTATTTTAATGTTTCGGACTTTTTCATTCCCCCAATAGTTCCAGGAGCAACATCTCTTCCAGAATTTAACTCATTATCTTAAAAATCCTGTAATTGTTACTAGTATAAAACGTTGCTTCCATTGCTTAACCCCAATCTTTTAAATTTCATTTTTTACTTAACTGGAAACAAAGTTGTTTGACTTTGGACTTCCGTTTTGAAACTCTCTTAAATGCAGCTCCTCTTTTTAAACATTACCCCTTGATCTCACCTTGTGTCCTTGGACTTCAGACTCTGGTTCCTCCTAAGCTGTAGCCCTGGCTTTTGTGTCTGTTGCAGAAACCGCTTCACTTAGGGAATCACACAAAATAAATTTGGGTCTCTTTTCCTCCCTATGTGTTGTAAGTTATTTGGAATTTATCTCTTTGGTTATATGTATTCTAAAAATCATTATAGAAGAACATTAACAAAAGTGCAGGGGAAAATCCAGTAACATGAAATTCCTGATGATGTTTAGTATTGATCTTCAACTCTTGTTTTTATAGCCCTATAATTTTCCTTTATAGAATACAGCACTAGACATATAAT